GTGTGCCAAAAATCGATACTTAATGCAAATGGAAACTTCGTGTGCTAATGGTGATTGAAGCATAAATGGTTCCTATTCATATATAATAAAAGGAAATATAAAAGACAAAGCAAAAATGATTTTTATATCCATTTAAAACAATAAATCCCAAAATAAAAAAATATAGATATTTACTTAAAAACATATTTTTCTTGATATAAAATAAAAATATAACCTTTAGTACAAATTACAAAAAAAAAATTTATTTAACAGAGCTCCTTATAATGCAATTTAAATTGAATCATTGTTTCATAAATATTAAGCTTTAGGTAAGCCATAATCAAGTCAGCTATAAGAAACGGAACTAAAAATGGAACAAAGTTATTTAAACGCATAATCATACACATTAATTACAAATTAACATGTCATGCAATCAATACTTTTGAAAACTCAAAATGGCGAATAAGAAACTTACTTTTTTATTTTTACATAACCCTTACAGACCAACATGAATGTGAGCTAAATCTATTTGCATAAAACATCACAACAATTAATTAAATAGCAGAACCACCTTCAAAGGACAAAAAAATTAGTTTTTTAAGGAAAATTAGAGTTATTTGGAGGGGAGGTATTAATAAATAAAAAAGCTCAACTTGAATTTCAAAATTAGTTCATAGTTTTGTTGAGGGTTATTAAGTTATTCTGAGTTTATTATACATATTTTAAACTACTAACACCACACACTTATATTCTTAGTTCTATAAGGTGCTACATAGAATTTGATTGTGTGAAAACCAAATCCCTTTGAGATTAACATTAACTTTATCAAATGTATGACCGTGACTTTTATTTCTAGTTAATGAGCATTGTTGATAAAGGTGTCTTTATTTAAATGATTTACTTTGATAACATTTAACATTCATGGGAAAAATTAAAAAACAACACAAAAATAAATTTACAAAAATATATTACAAAAAAAAAATTACAAAAAAAAAATGAAGTGGCTCAAAAGTTGTCAATTTCTTTACATTTTAAAATGTAAAAAATTTATTGACAACTTTTGAGCCACGTTGTCTTCTCCTCCCAGCATCCGCTCTATTCCCCGTGTTGTATGGGGTGCCATCCCTCCATCTAAAGAAGGAATGGTCGTCCCCATACAAACACCAGCGATGGAAGGCCCTCATAGATAGACGGCCTGGATGCTGGGAGCGATACTTTCGGCAATCTTCCCATAACTTCGAGCCTGATAAAAAAATTTTATATAAATACAACTATCTACCTAGGTAATACTTACAAAAAATCTACTGTAAAAAAACAATAAAAACAAATAATGTAATAAATTAAGTACAAGTGAGCACAACAACTTATTTATTTTACTCACTAATACTTGACTTATTACATTAACTAATTAAACTGGAAAGCACATTTGTAGCTATATTAAAAAACAAAAGGTACAATAAAAGCAATCAATCAATGTAATAAGTCAAGTAAAGGTGAATATAACAACTTACTTGTAACAGAAGAAGCAGCAGCTAGAGATAAATAAAAGAAAGTTAAAAATGCAATAAAACCAATTAATCCATAAATTAAGTCAAGTAAATGTGAATAGAACAACTTACTTGTAACAGAAGAAGCAGCAGCTAGAGATAAATAAAAGAAAATTAAAAATGCAATAAAAACAATCAATCAATGTAATAAGTTAAGTAAAAGTGACTTACTTATAACAGAAGAAGCAGCTAGAGATAAATAAAAGAAAGTTAAAAATGCAATAAAACCAATTAATCCATAAATTAAGTCAAGTATAAGTGAATAGAACAACTTACTTGTAACAGAAGAAGCAGCAGCTAAAGATAAATAAAAGAAAGTTAAAAATGCAACAAAACCAATTAATCCATAAATTAAGTCAAGTATAAGTGGATAGAACAACTTACTTGTAACAGAAGAAGCAGCAGCTAGAGATAAATAAAAGAAAATTAAAAATGCAATAAAAACAATCAATCAATGTAATAAGTTAAGTAAAAGTGACTTACTTATAACAGAAGAATCAGCTAAAGATAAATAAAAGAAAGTTAAAAATGCAATAAAACCAATTAATCTATAAATTAAGGTAAGTATTAGTGAATAGAACAACTTACTTGTAGCAGAAGAAGCAGCATCTAGAGATAAATAAAAAAAATTAAAAATGCAATAAAACCAATTAATCCATAAACTAAGTCAAGTATAAGTGAATAGAACAACTTACTTGTAACAGAAGAAGCAGCAGCTAGAGATAAATAAAAGAAAGTTAAAAATGCAACAAAACCAATTAATCCATAAATTAAGTCAAGTATAAGTGAATAGAACAACTTACTTGTAACAGAAGAAGCAGCAGCTAGAGATAAATAAAAGAAAATTAAAAATGCAATAAAAACAATCAATCAATGTAATAAGTCAAGTCTAAGTGAGTACAACAACATACTTTACTGAGGAAGTTGGATTTGTCACTATATAAGTGATTACATTATATTATTTATTAAAACTTTTATGAGACTTAAAACATAATATAGTTACTTACAAATGTAGTTTAAAATGATATCTAAAAAAATTGACCAAAAAGTACAAAGTCCAAAAGTAATCTCAAATTGAAAAAACGCATTTAATATTAGATGTACATAAATAATTAGGGTGTATAATAAACATAAAAGCAATTTTACTCACCTATGGACTTTTGTAAATCTTATAATTTTACTAAATAGATGAACAAATTACTAAAGCCAACCTCATTGTTTTTTATTTAATATACATAAAAGTAATATAATGAAATTTTGCTTACTAACTCTACTTTCTAAATTTTCTAAATAAACAAAATGTATGAAAGATTTATCACCATTTATCACCACATTGGCACAGTCATGCCCTTTGTAAATGTACTTATATAAATACTTAACTGACTTTATGGTCATGCAGGCTTCAACATTTATGTGTGCTTGATATTTTTTAGAAAGCCATGGGTTATAAGGTACAACCCAACGGTTGTCAACTTGATTACCTTTTATATTGACAATTCTTCCATTATCGACGCGCCTATAGCGTGGATAACCATTAAAAATTGCAACAGTGTAGGGATTATATTCCTTAGGAAATTTTTTTGTGCATTTACCATCTTTCATGCAGGGAGAATTGGGATTTAAAATTCCACATGGTCTATGTATCATGCATGATTTTATAATTTCAAAAAGTTCAGGATCAACAGCTTGGTCTGGGATTTCTGCTGATATCAAACTATTAATATCTTCTGCTGTTTCTAGCTTATCAGCATTTACAAAGTGCAATAAAATATGTACATGTGGCAAACCACGATTTTGAAACTCAATAACCTGCACCTGACTTACAACTTTGCCTAAGACTCCATGCTTAAAAATATCCTCTAAGAAAAATTTAAGTTTCATTTTAAATACCCGACAAATTAAATAAGGTCTGTCATTAGCAGTTTGGCCTGGGTTTAAATTTTCTACTATTTCTCTCCATTTTGGATTGCATGTAAAAGTAATGAATAGATCTGGTTTACCATATTTCTTTATTACTGCCATCGCATCTTCATAGTTTTCTTTTAATGCTCTTGGACTACCAACATATGAAGAAGGCAATATAACAACACGGCCTGGTCTTACATTAAGTTCATTAGCACGATTAATTACATGTTCATGCAATGCATCATATTGCTCACTTCTAAGTTTGTCAAGGCGCTGTCCCTCAACTTTGACATATGCATCAACAACATATTGCTGAAAAAGTTTCTTACCATAGAATATAGGACTAAAAGTTTGTCTAACAGCAAGCCTATAATTATAATACTGAGACAAAGTAACATGGTTTCTAACACGGGTTGCACGGTCAGGGTTGTGCTCTAGTTGATTGTGCCATCCAGCATCACCTCTCGGGAAGAATATTGGATATACCAAAGGATCCAAATTTGCAGACATAGACGAAATTGTTCTTAAAGGCTGACCTCGAGGGTATATAACAATTTCCCTGGATGCAGGTGGAGCACCATCATCTCCCACAAACACAATAGCAACTTCCTCATGGGAAGGAAGATTGTATTGACGTCTATCATGACCTTCAAGCAAAGACATTCTTACAACAGAGGTTGGTCTACCTTCTAAAGCTGCTTGGCGGATTTCTTCATCCTCTACTTCTGCCATGTTTTTAAATGCAAGAGCAAATGGGTTTTCTTGATTAATTAATGTTTGCAAGAGTTGCATTAACTCATGTATACAACCATCATTACCAGGTTGTTCAATTCTGAATGACACTGCTGCATTAGGATCATAGATATACAGCTGACAATATTTGGGCAGACAACCTTCTGCAGGCCTTAAATTTCCAACACGATGCAAAATTTGCCCACAGACCCTAAAACAGAAAGGGCCATTATTTGAGGGAGGAGCTATTTCGGCAGTGAAGGAAGCAAAAGATAAAAAGGAATTATAACTCCTTATGTGTTTAAAAAAATTTTGATTTACAGCATGATCAACATGGTTTCCTGTCATTAAACCAGTCAACAATGGCGGATAAAGAGAAAGAGGAGCTAATACAACTTTTCCTGAATGGCAGCACAAAAAATGAGTTTCATTTAAAAACTTCTTTGCACTGCAATACTGACAATTATGGTTTAATTTTCCGAGGTAGTTACTCTCTATAGCAATATTATTTCTTGCTATGCGATGCATATTATACCTATTAAGTTCTCGCCTAGCCTGATTTCTTTCATTTTGATTACAATTTATTTCAGCTCGCCGGGGCTCATCTCTTTCAATTCAACGACGATTTATCTCAGCTCGCCGGGGCTCATCTCTTTCAATTCGACGACGATTTATCTCAGCTCGCCGGGGCTCATCTTTTTCAATTCGACGACGATTTATCTCAGCTCGCTGGGGCTCATCTCTTTCAATTCGACGACGATTTATCTCAGCTCGCCGGGGCTCATCTCTTTCAATTCGACGACGATTTATCTCAGCTCGCCGGGGCTCATCTCTTTCAATTCGACGACGATTTATATCAGCTCGCCTGGGCTCATCTCTTTCAATTCGACGACGATTTATCTCAGCTTGCCTGGGGTCATCTCTTTCATTTCGACGGCGGTTTATCTCAGCTCACCTAGCCTGCCTTCTTTCATTTTGACGAAGTCTAATAATTTCATTTCTTAAATTATTAGACATAATTAGGCATCAAAGGAGTGTGTAAAAATGATGCCTAATATAATAAAAGTTAAAGTTTCTTTTTTAAACTTATCTATAATAAAGTGTAAGCAAATAATACAGAGCATAATACTATAATCTATTATATTCTACCATATATAGCATTGTGTTAAGATAACATAGTTTTATTAAAAACTTAAACTAAAGTTATAAATTAATATAATATTTTCAACTAAGTATTGTTTATATATTTATGGTAGTTGTTATTAATTATTGACAAAATATTATAAGTATTTAATCAAAAAAAAAAAAAAAAAAACAAATGTAATTTAAAAAACAAATGTAATCATCCATCAACAAAACCCTTTTATTACTTTGAAAGGCATTTAACGCAAGATTTGCAATAAATAAATACAAAACTACTAAAAGAACCTCTATAAACAATCATATATTTGCTTCAAGTGAAGAAACTTGGAAATATTCTTTTACTATTTTACTAAACTTCTTTTACTATTTTAATTTTTTTTTAGATATTTAATATTCTAAAGAAAAAGGGACAATAATTTAAGGCAAAAAAATTAAAATGTCTATACATATAATATATGTATAGACATTTTAATTCTATATATTTTATTGTGTGTGTGTGTCTATATATATATATATATATATATATATATATATATATATATATATATATATATATATATATATATATATATATATATATATATATATATATATATATATATATATATATATATATATATATATATATATATATATATTGATGTACATACAAAACATTAAAATAATAATATAAAGAAAACATTCTCTATACAAAAAATCCTAAAAATTTAACAAAAGTTATTAAAACTTATGCTTCAACACGCTGTATACTTACTTTTATATATATAAAAAAAATTTGAGTTAAACATATTTAATGAAGAAAATCGAAACTCTTAAAAATTTTAATGAGGAGGAGCTGTTAGTAAAGCCTGCTTTTCAACAAAATTTATTTATTGTCAAAAGCATACATTGTTAAGAACAGAGGATAACAACATTAAAACACATTTTTTCAACAATATTTTTTCAACACATTTTAGAAATACACTAATTACAAACAGAATTAATTTATGTGTTTTATTATGACAATACACCACTCTGCTGGCGAGGACAATATTTTTGCTCTCAACAAAGCCAGGTCACATTATAGCAAAGTACACCACTTGGCTAGCAAGGTCAACAATCTTGCTGTAAACTAAGCCCAGTCACAACAATTTGAAACCATGCAAACAACATAATTATCACTTACAAACTATAAACATATTACATATAACACACTACAAACATTGAAACATTTCATATATTTACACACTTACAAAATATAAACCCATATAACCTTAACACATATATACACAATATAACACAATATAAATAACACACAATATATAGATAAATATATAAATTAAGAAAAATATATAAATTTGAAACTTTACAAATACAACCTTATTTTTGTTTTTTGAAATACCTCGTAATAAATGTTTAATAACTTTCAAAAACAAACTATCAAACAATCTGGTTTTTTATACGGATTTTTATAACTTCTTTTAAATAAGGTATTAAACGATCTTGTTCTTTAACATGTAACATTGAGTTGACCGTGTGAGATGCAAGTGTTTTAAACACTAACTTTATCAAGAGTTTGACCTCTTGACCTTTGAAATGAGCAACGTCTTCTTGAGTCGTCTTTTAATTTAAAAATTACAGATTAATTTTATAAATTAATAAATTTAAATTGACAAAAGACTAAAATGCATGATTTAAATAAATCACCTGACTTTAAAAGTTACTTTACTAATTCAATAATAACATAATGTTCATCCTTTACTACAGAAGTTATCAAATAAAAATTGTTGATCTTATCACTAATTAAGCTGATGAAACAAAGTTTTTGATCTCATTACCGAGATATTAAATCACTTTTTAAAATAGTTAACGAACAGTTATGTAATGTTAGTGCATGGTTCGTAAGTAATAAACTTTCACTAAATGCGGAAAAAACAAAATATATGCTTTTCCATAAAGTAAATAAATCAGAAAATATTCCTCTTAAATTACCAGATCTTAATATTAATAAAACTTATATTAAAAGGGAATCTTACATAAACTTTTTAGGAGTAAAATTGGATGAAAATTTAAAATGGTGTTCACATATAAATAGCATTGAAAAAATAATCTCAAAAAATATTGCAATGATGTTTAGGGCTAAACCCTTTCTAAATATATCATCTCTGAAAAAATTATATTTCGCCTTTATTCACAGTTATTTGTCTTATTGTAATGTTGTGTGGGCTAGTACTAGTCATACAAAACTAAAGAAACTCTACAATAAACAAAAACATGCATGTAGAATAGTATTTGGAGCCGACAGAAATGTTCCTTGCGAACCACTTCTCAGTGTGCTCGGTGCTTTAAATGTATATAAACTTAATTTACACCAAGTTTTATTGTTTATGTTTAAAACAAAAAAGGATTTGTCTCCTAAAATATTTCAATCTTATTTTAATAAAATTAACCATAGGTACTCAACAAAGTTTTCAGAAAACAATTTTGTTGTTCCAAAACATAAATTAAAATTAACTTCCTATTCAATTAAATACCGCGGACCTTATCTGTGGAAGAAATTTCCAGATATTGTTAACAAAAAGCAGACTACCTTAGAGCAATTTAAGGATGAATCAAAACGATTATTATTGTTCATGGATCTCAATAAATCCGACTTTAAATGTTTATTTTAAAGTAAACACAATAAAAAAAAATAAAAAAAAATAGATTCAATAATATCAATGATATATGATAATATGAATAAGAAAAGAAAGAAAAAGGAAAAAAAGAAAAAAAAAAAAAAAAAAAAAAAAAAAAAGAATAAGAAATCCAAGTGATGATGTCACAAGTGATGATGTCATAAGTGATGATGTTACATATTCATTTAGTGTTAATTATGAGATTTTATTTTTTCAATTTCTTTTATATTCAGGAATTTTTTTTTTTTTTTTATATATTAACTTATTTCTTAAACATTTTAGCAACTGTTAAGCATCTTAACGCTTCTTAATTAATTCTTATTTTTTATTTTTTTTATTATATTAGTTATTTTCTATTTCATTTCTAATTGTTTCTTTTATATATATATTTGTATGTTACGGTTATGTAGAATTTTTAATGGGGCTCGGCGATAAGGCGAAATGTGCCTTCTTCTTGCTCCAGCCATCAATTTATAAAAATGTATATGCAATGTAAAAATTTTTTAACGGCGAAATAAATTACACTAAAAAAAAAAAAAATTACTGATTAAGCAGATACTGACAGATTATTAAGATTTGAAAGAGCCTCATTACGCGAGTTCAGAAGTAAAGCAATTTATAATAAAACTCAAAGGCCAAGTATGGTAAAAAAGTCCGTGTAAAGGTGCACGAATGGTGAGTAGCAGCAGCAGCAGCGTTAAGTTAAGTATTAATTATAAGCGATATAGTAAATAAAACAAAGCATCTTGTATTTGTAGAATATAATGAACTTAAATAGTAATTTTTCTTTCGTAAATATTTGTAAATCACCTGTTTAAACATCATGAGACTCGAAGTACATCTCCAGACTATCAACGAGTTTATAAAACAGTATTCAGTTATTTAATTTGCTCATTAATCTTAATGAGTAAACTAACTAAATGAATTTCTAATTTATACTCTAATAAAGCAGAAAACGTGTTCGTTTCTTGCTTACGATCCGTAATTAATTAAACATTTTATTATCTCTAACAATGCTCTCTTTAAAAAACAATGTAGAATCTATACTAACAATATTACTTCATTTTCAAGAGTTTGTTTAATGAACTTCATTCTAAAATCACATTATGTTACAAGCATTAAACAACGTTAATAAGTTTGTGTGCACGGTCACGCTTGATTTACGCTCTATTTTTGTGTCAATAAGTTAAACAATGAATT